TAAACCCTAAATCCTAGACCCTGGTACACTTCTCAAAAAAACCTTAAGCCCAGGATTGGAGTCAGCTCCGAGCCCCTCCCCCAGCAGCGAGCCCCGGCGCCCACAGCCGAGCCTGTGAAGGCCGATGAGCCTTGGAGCTATTATATGGGTGGTTGTCAAAATTATGGTCCTTCTTTGGATCCCTATTAAAATACGGCACCCAATATTTATAGGGTACCCAAAAAGGGATCATAGTTTCCCAAAATAGGGGACCCCAATATGAACCCCATTATACTATAATCCTTATTACAGGGACCCCCAAAAAGGTACCCCTAATTTTGGGAAACCCCCATATAGCGTGCTAGGGGTTTGAATAGGGTTATATTGGGGTAATATTGGGATAATGGGGTTATATGGGTTTAGGGTTTTTGAGTCCCTAAGTATAGCTTGCTAGGGCGTTAGTAGTGAATAAGGGAATATAGGGTTTAGGGTTTAGGGTGAAGGGTATAGGGTTTAGGGTTAGGATGTTGGGAGTCCGGCAAACGAGCAGAGCCCGGATGCAAAAAGTAGGGAATGTAGGGTTTTAGAGTTCCTATGTATAGCTTGTTAGGGGGTTAGTCGGGAATCAGGAAATATAGTATATAGGGTTGAGGGTTTAGGTTTTGGGGTTAGTAGGGAATAAGGGAAGATATCATATAGTGTTTCGGGTTTAGGGTTAGTCGGGATAGTCGGGGGGTCCTTGTAAAACATCCCAAGAACAATGCTCCCATGCCAGAAATCTGGGTCCTAAACACCCTTAAGATCTTGAACATTAAATCATAGAGCTTAGGGTCACTGCAAGGCCCGTGCTTTCAATGGCCTTCGGGTTAGCAGCCCTTGGGCTCGATTCTCTCTCCTATTGGAAGCTAGAGAAGATGTTTGCGTAGTTTACACCTAGGGTTTAGGGTTTAGGGTGCTAAATTCTCCCCCTATAATGGAGAAGGAAAAGACAATAGAAAATCAAATAGTAACTGGAGGAACACAGGGGTTTTAGGGAATTAATTTGAGATGGGCAGCAGTCAACATGACAGAACCGCGTGCCAAGCAAGTGTCCCAGTGCATACTCAGATTGAACAGGAACTGATATGTCACTGGATCCAGTCGCTAGCCACCGCTTACACAGTTGGGGAAGGAAGTAGGTATGTCACTAAAGTTTATGCCATGGGACCCGGAGGCTGTCAGTCTCACATTTTCTGTTCTGTTTCTAAGGATATAACCGTTTTGAAGTACAACTATGATTTGCACTTGGTTCCATACTACTTTTGCCGGGTTTGCTCTGAGGAAGATTGGAAATCCCAAATCCGTCGGCCCCCGGCAGATCAGCGCTACCGTCGCCTGGACCGAATCCCACTTTAGGCTTTGAAGGGATGACTTTGAGATCGCAAGCAATGAGACGTCTAATCATCTAATCAGTCAAGGCAGTGCGCGGCTTCCTAGATTTCTTGCTTGCGTTCCTTCATTGGACACCTAGAGAGCAGGCGGCCACAAAATCTATGGTAGGATAAGAGGCCTGGGTTTAGGGTAAGAAATTGGTATCTGATTTGAGCAGCAACACTACAAAGGGCCACATGGGATGGCAACATGGGCAAACGATCTGCCGTGTACTGCAAAATCCAAGGCACCGAAGACGTGACGGCCACCAAGGGTAATGATTTTGAAGATTACTTTCTCAAGCGTGAGCTCCTTATGGGGATCTTTGAGATGGGCTATGAGAAGCCATCCCCGATTCAAGAGGAGAGCTTGCCAGTAGCACTGGCAGGGAAATCCATTTTGGCTCGCGCTAAGAACGGCACGGGCAAAACCGGAGCCTTCGTGATTCCCATCCTTGAGAAGTGCAACACCACTAAGAACGCCATTCAGGGGCTCATCTTGGTCCCGACACGAGAACTGGCCTTGCAGACGTCCTCGGTGGTCAAGGAGCTCGGAAAGCACATGAACGTGCAATGCATGGTCTCAACCGGTGGAACAAGCCTGCGGGAAGACATCATGCGCCTGTACAACGAGGTGCACATTGTGGTCGCAACTCCGGGTCGTGTCCTAGACCTCGCCAACAAGAATGTGTGCAACCTGAAGCAGTGCCAGATGGTTGCGATGGATGAGGCTGACAAGCTTCTCTGTCCAGAGTTTCAGCCAATCATCGAAGATCTCATCAAGTTCCTGCCGCAAGACAGGCAAATTCTCATGTACTCAGCGACTTTCCCGATGACCATCTTGGAGTTCAAGAACAGATTTATGGGTGAAGCCCACGAGATCAATTTGATGGATGAGCTCACTTTGAAGGGCGTGTCCCAGTTCTATGCCTTCGTAGAGGAGCGGCAGAAGGTGCGCAGTTTCAGAGGTGGCAATGGTAGGCATGCTCGGTTCTCTCTTTCTGTGTGTCTACTGTCCGAGGTCCACTGCCTGAATACCCTCTTCTCCAAGTTGCAGATCAACCAGGCTATTATCTTCTGCAACTCTGTGACACGAGTGGAGCTCTTGGCAAAGAAGATCACAGAGCTGGGCTACTCCTGCTTCTTCATTCACTCCCGCATGTATCAGTCGCACAGAAACCGAGTCTTCCACGACTTCCGCAATGGCGCTTGCCGATGTCTAGTGTCCTCCGACCTGTTCACACGTGGCATTGACATTCAGTCCGTGAACGTGGTGATCAACTTCGACTTTCCCAAGAACTCTGAGACCTACCTGCACCGCATTGGGCGATCTGGCCGTTTCGGCCACCTTGGCCTGGGTATCAACTTCGTGACCTACGAGGACCGATACAACCTCTACCGCATTGAGAAGGAGTTGGGCACAGAGATCCAGCCGATCCCTGCCACAATTGACCCAGCGACCTACACCTGAGACCTGAATAGCCTGAAATGCTAAGATGTTTTGAGATGGCACGCGATCCGCAATAGACTTTTTGCAAAGCTTCGTGCATAACATGGCCCATGCCTGCCAGCAAGACCCATTTTGAAAGCATGGGATCGCAGCTGTGTCCTGTATGATGACAATTCGAATAGCTAGGCGCAGTCAGAGACTAGGGCCAGCCAGCCAAGCGCAGCGAAGAGCAGCTACAGCCATCCCAGACCCACGTTTTGATTTAGTTGATGAGTAGTTATGAACAAAATGCTGAGATGAGCGTTTGTGCTTGGTGAAAGGCTCATTATGAAGCCGGGAGCTGGCTAAACCTGCGCCACCTCAAGATGCAAGCCTGCGGGTTTCCAGAAAAAGCCAGATGGACCTGGATGCAGTTGACACACCTTCGTGGAGAAACTCTTGGAGCCCTGCCAGGTTGAAGTGCAGATTACTGCCGAGGAGCTGACGGGTCTAGGGAACCAAAACACGTATAAGTTGCCCAAAAGAAGCTATCCCGCAACCAGATTTGTTTGGTGCTGCAGGAACGCTTGGAGGTGATGCAGGTTCGGGAGGCAGCGGTGCAGACCATAGCGCGGGTGCATCAGAAGCCCGCAGCTCAGCAAATTTACCTCAATGCAGTCTGTGAGGAGATGGGAGTAACTGCACGCACATGCTAGTCTGAATTGCTGACCTCTGCGTGTTGCCTGGAATAATTTCCCACATGGCTTGTGTGGAAGTTGGACGTGTTGTTAGATACTTCACATGAAGGGGCTTCGCGGCATTTTTTCATCTCTCGCTTGGTGATGATCGTGTGGATAAACACCTTGTCAGCAGATGTGCTTTCTTATGGCCTCCAAAATCCAGAGTCCAAGCCAGAAATGAACCTACAATCTTGATCCTTTGATTTCGTCCAGGCCAGCGGACAGCCACGGGCACGATGCCGCAGCTCTAAGCAGCTGTGGCACGGGTGAAGCCTTGTCGCTTCGTGAAGCCTTGTCTGGGAGTCCCTGAGGCTTCTATTGCCTTGAGTTCGTTTGCGCTTGGCCCCTCCTCGCAGCATTCATCCCCTCAGTACCTTGCCGGATTATTCAGTTATTCAGTCCACATCCTTTTTGCCCTCCGCAACACTGGATGTGCTTGCTGGCTAAGTTTGAGTAGGTGCACAGCGCCCTGATCACAGTCATCACCTACACACCTACAACGCAGAAGCTGGATGCGCCGAGCAACTAAGGGGGAAGAGCCACCACAAAGCAGGTGGTGAGCACCCTTACCGCGGCGGCAGCACCGTGCCCCGGCTGTTCATGGCTGTTCCCTTGAACGGTCTGTGCTTTACATTCAGACATTTGGATCTTGATTCCGCATGATGTTCAACTTCTCATGGGAAGCTAGCATTGATGCAGCAGACTGTTCTGCCCTGAGGGCAGTGCAACGCCCAGGATACCCTCCTTGGCCTTGCCACAGAGTCACAGGGGGTCAGGCGGCCTTCCGTTAGGCCGGAGATGGGAGCCTGAGGAAGACTGCAGAAGACTCTAAGGTAAAGGCATGCATGTGGTTGCATAAGGACATGCCCATCAACGGAGACGCAAACGGTGAGGAACAGGGAAATTGGAATGGAAACTGGCGTTAAATAGATGAAAACCAGTTTTTACAACGCTTATTATTGTCATTGTGATTGTTGTGTTAACGGCTACTTCGCCTTGGAACGCATTAGGCAATATGGCTGAGTAGGACTGTAAATTCCCTGCTAAGCCTGAAGACGTCTTACAAACCTCATCAGCAGGGCTAGAGGTTTAACAAGCATTTCGCGACAAGGGATCTTGACTCGTCAGGCTGGATTCCCCATCTCCACCTACGAGCACTGAGCGCAAGAAGCTTACAAACGTCTCCACCGCCTGTCATGATCTAATCCTTCCGTCTGGAAGGATTTCAATCAGGGTTCATCCTCCGGCATAGGCCTGGAGGATGATGGTTGTTACTGTTGCTGTTGCCGTTGTTGCCGTTGCTGCTGCTGTTGCTGTTGTTGTTGTGGTGGTGGTGGTGGTGGTGGTGGTGGTGGTGGTGGTGGTCGTGATCGTCGTCTGTGAGGTGAACGCAGGGCGAAGTGTGGCTGTTGCGTTGGACTCTTGGCCGGACGCTTTGGGCACCCACAACCGAACCTAGTAGATGGTCCAAGTGCTGCGGCACCCATTATCTCGTCATACTCCTCATGTATCAATATGTATCCCTAGGGTCCCCAAGGTGAACCTGTTTTCAGGACACCATATGCAATCATTGACTCCAGCGCCGCGCTAAATCAATGAGCATGCCAGGCTCAGCCTGGGCACACCGACGCCAGATATGCTGGTCTTTCCAGCAATTGGTAGTTTGCAAAAATCAGGTCCCCCAATTTACCCTCCCAAACATCTAGTGTAGTCCCACACTACAAGGGCTGTCAAAGAACCTTGATTCCCTGAACTCACCACAAACCATAGGCCAAAAAGAGGCCCAGATACCGATTGCCCAATCCGTTTTGCTCCTTTGTAACCAGGGCTAACGCCGCGCACATTCAACAAGGTTTCAGTGATCCTTCAGCCTATCAGGGATCCTATGTAGAGGTTCCACTGGAGAAAGAATAGCCATCGTGAGAAATGAGATTACCAATATTTAGTCTAGTCCTCTCCCCAAGAACAAACGAATCGGGATTACCAACCAACCCACTCCCCCAAGAATGAGCCTCCCAAAACGTTTGAAAACAATGTTCTCCTCATTATAAAGTGGTATTGTCAGGAGACTAGCGTAGCCCAGTACATCTCACGCTGAGGCCGACCCCGGTCTGCGAGCGCTTCTCGCTGAGCCATATTCCCAGCAGGGGGTTCAGTGGCTAGTAGGTTATGTAGGAATATTATGTAAGGTTTAGGGTTTGCTTTTGGTTGCTACAAGGACTTACGAATAAACGAGAGCACACAGTGACAACGAGCCACATGGCAGCTTGAAAAGCATGTGTGCAATTTCTTATGGAGCCCCAGTGTCAGGATTCCCCCATGTGTGTGGTGTAGATTGGCCGGGCGGGGCTCAGCGCCCAGTTTTGGAACTGTCCAAAGCCCACACCTGTTGATGCATCTGCAACCCTCACATGGACAATTAATCTCAAGCATGAGCCAGGATCCAAAAGCCTCAAAATGGCACGCAGAACAGCAATGTAACTTGTGGAGTAGAAGCCTCACATTCGCTACACATGTCTTCTTACGTGTCCCGCACCCTCACCGCAGGCTTAGCAGTGAGAAGATGCCTGGAATGCGCGGAATACCTTCAGTGCCCAACCCCAGAGTGACCCTACCGTGCCCAACCCCAAGAGCAAGACTCATAGACCCCCAACCCCAAAGTGTCCGGAGCGTGCACAGCCTAGAATGTCTGCAGAGTGTTTGGTTGCGTCCCGGCAGTGCCAAATAGCACCAGAGCTGAAGTATGAAAGGTATTCAGAAATTGTGTCACCGCATGTCACTGACCGCAGGCGCGAGAGCCGCATGACTTGGGACAGTTAACGGACTTGCATTCCAGTCAAACCTTGCGTGCCCAAGCAATATCAAAAAATGGCCCCTTGCATATGGATAGTGACGGATAGTGTTGAAGATAGCAGATAACTACGGCTACTGCAACAACAACAACTACTATTTTTACTATTACTACCACTGCTCATACCAGTTTTGAAGATAGCGCAGGGCGAACCAGGGCTTAATTCGACCGAAACTCAAAGCGGAGTTGCGTGTACAGGATAGCAGTTGCAAGCCATCGGTGGCAGCGGCCTCATAGGGATTTCGGGTGTATCTAGGGATAAAAAAGGTTTCAAAGGTTTGTAGTTGTGATGTGCTTTTTGATTGTTGGTTGCCTCCTGTCTGTGGTAGAAATCCCTTCGGCGTATCCGGTTTCACTGCAGATCAATTTTCTCAGGCAAGGTTAGGCATACCATTCCGCCATTCCTGTCCAGCGAGTATGTCTACTATGTAAGACCTGTTTTTGAGCTGTGCGGGCATGGGTTGCCTGGTTTCACGCGCTGTGCAATTCGCGCTTTGCCGCACGTCCCATACGTTGCCAGCAGGGTTTCTGGCATGTGTTTCTCAGGTGCATAAGTTTCTCCATCCTGCCTGTTGGTCGGACAGGACGCATTCAGCAAAGCTGTCTGACAAGCAAAGACGCTGGTTGGACAATATGTGGTGGCCACTTCTGGGTTTATGAGATCACATGGAACACCATGAACGTACAGCAGACATGTGGAGTGATGTAAGCCCAGGGTGTAGCCCGATAGTGGGATGCATAAACGTGCTCCTCCTTGAAAAACAGCTTTTGCCTCTGAAGGTTGCCTCGGCGCTTGTTAAGTGAGAGTGCTGTCGCTATGGAATTGAATTGCATGTCTGCGTGATGCTCGGGTTTTTTCCCAGCTCGCGATTGGCCCAGGAGTTGCCGGTGTTCTTACTCGATATTTTTCAGCATATATAGCACAGCCTAGATCCGACCGTACTAGCTGTAGCCCAGCGCTGTCCTTTGTGTTTTGTCCAGCCTTCAGCCTTCTTCATGTGTAGAGTGTAGTGCCTGTCCTGTCAACCGAGCTTCGCGGACAGGCGCCCTGCCTTTAAAGCTTCAAGCCATGGTCGAAGAGGAAGGAAGGCTCATGAAGCAGATGGCCGCCTTCCTCCGCCACAAGGGCTTGAGGAGACTTCCCTTGAGGGCCCGTTCTCACCCTGAAAGACGTCGTTCCTCTCTGTGTGTGTGTGTGCCTAGGAGCATGCAGAGCGATGGCCGCTTGACTTACAGCTGGTTGTGCATTTAGCCTGGCAGATAGTATTCACGCACAGGGCATTGTTAGCAGATGCACTGCCATGAGGCTTTGCTCTCGTGGATGACTTGGCCAAAGCGTGCCATTCAGATTCTTAGCAGTCCGATTGAGTGTGAGCCAGAGCCGCTACGAGCAACACGAGGTTACCACACGCCACCAAATATTTTTCGTATCATGTGCCACAAGGGTGGCGATTACTTTGGAAAATGCCATGCATGCCATGCTTGTGTCACAACCTTTGAACAACTCCTCGATAACATGCTTCCTCAAAATCTTTGTGCAGTCTCTGCCAAAGGCCCCTACTACCAAAGCCTAGCTTTGAACCGGTGTGCGTACTGCAGACTTCCAAAAGCTTGCGTAGCCCAAGGAATGCTGCAAGGCTGACAGTATCACGCGCATTGTTCTTGCTAATCTAGCACCCATGTCTTGCTATTACCCTGAGGGTCGTGGGGTGATGAAATCTCAGGATCCCGAGGAAGTGCTGGAAGCCACACGAATGCCTGGTAAACAGAGATTTCAGACTCTGAGCTGCATGCAACTGCTGCTAAAGAAAGTCAGCATTGCTTGAGCCATTAGATGGTTGATGGCATTGTGCCGTGCTTAGAACCATGAACGACGGTTCCCGGTTCTGGATCCGGGCTACTCATGGCCACAGCCTCAAGAGCGTGGACGTGACCAAGGGTGGTTTATACACAGAAGCTCGGCTGAATGATCCCTGTTGAGCTCGTTGATATGGCTCTTGGCCATGATCCGGGATGAGGGTTTCCTGTTTGTGGTCGAAGTAGGGTCAGGTACTGTGCATGGTCTGCACTATAGATCTGACGTGTCTTGTGGGCCGGCTTTCAAGCTGATTTCTGCCAATTTCAGCAGCCGCATAAATTGCCATGGTGTGAGTTCGCAGCTTCGATGTGCACATTTGGATGCCACGCAGATTTCGGCAGCAGCCTGTGCTCAGGAGATCAAAAACGCCTTGCCTCTCTTGGTGCATGCCGTGGCTGGCTACTATGTAGCATTTTGAGACACGTTTTGCAAGGTTTTATAGCTGCTTCACAACAGGCCTGCCGGATCGTCGTGCAATCAACAGACGATTCGTTTTCATGTGCTCGATTTCCGTACATGATTATGCTGCTGGCCGGTTTTCTGGCCATATGGGCGGAAAACGAGTGGTGCCACTGAGGTGACTCCTTGCCAATCATCTTAGCCAACGGGATCAGCCGGAACGGCAAGCCGCACATGCTGTTGCGCGGACGCACTATAACGAAGCAGCAGGTCCCACAGGCCATGAAGATCATGAAGCCATCCGAGGGTGCGTAGCTATCACAGGTTTGCAGACTCCGACGAAGAGCAGGTGTTGAGCCTTGGGTTTCAGGACAGGTCTGATGATGAGAGAAAGGGGCTCAGACCGGCGAATTCCTTTGGGGACGTTTTCCATTGGGCCTTCCACATGCTGGGTTGCCCTCTAGCAGATTGTTGACTCCTGCCCTGATGGAGAATTCATGTCCCACGGACATTGCAACATTGTGCTGATGTGCCAGTCGCCCCACCCGCGCATTTGTGCTTTTTTTAGATGCCAGCTTCTTTTCATATCTTCGCATCCTTTTTGCTTGTTTGCTATTGTTCTTATCAGCCAGAACCTGCACATCTTACGTCTCACAGCCTGCCCTCCCCAGGCCGCGTTGCTTGGGGACGTTTGCCCCATGTCAGCCAAGCCTGTTGCCAGGACTCCTGCAACATCCTTGTGTACATCAACATGGGCAAGGCCCGCACCTGAAGAAAACCACAAAAATCAGATGCAGCCCCGAGCAAAGAACAAGCACCCCTTGAATTTTTTGGATGCAAGTAATCATATATTAGGTTCTACTATTATATATAGTATATTGCATTATACTATACTATCGTTTGCTTTATTATGCTACCCGCGGAGGCCTTGTTTGCGGGAATTCCTTTCAGCCGTGCGCCTGACGGCATGGTGGTGTCGCCGGGCATCAATGAGAAGCGAAGACGAAAAACAGAGAAGGCTCGAGGCTTCCAAAAAAGCGGTCCGCCTTAGTTACTCGCATGGTCCATAGTATGGGATGTCCACACTCTGGGAGCATTTTCGGAACATTTAAGCAGGGATCTCCGTTTTCAGAAGCTGCCATTTGCTGACTCTTTTTCAATCTACCGCAGCGCAGCTGTTCATGTCTGGACATGTTCTTACTGCAGATTGGCACCATTCCGGCGGACTTTATCCTCCGAGTTGTTAATCGTTATGGTGCTGATCGAGAAGAAGTCTTTCCACAAAGCAGAGGCGCAGTCTGGCGCAGCACTTCCTCGCCGCAAGCTGAACTGAACTTGAAAGCTACATGGTCGCGTGGGCAGACTGTCAAGTGTGCATCAGGTTCCATGGGGATTCCCTTTTTTTGCATGAGCAAAAAGACACCACCGGCCATGCGAGTTGTTCTTTGCTTTGAAGCGGAAGTCTGGCTACGGGCTTTCTGACAGGGAAGGGCAGAGGAAAAGGCGGCGGGAAGCAGCAAGCACTGCCCCTGACGCTTGGCAGGGTGTGACCAAATTGCAGACAGGGAGTCAGCTAGCCAGAACCCACTCAACGGCAGCATCAGTAAGCAATCCAGCAGTTGCTGAGGACAGGGATGCCAAACATCATCGCCGAGACTTTGGCCACTTGTGATGCACAGACCGCATGCAGACGTGGTTCACTTGTGTGCCGGGGAGATTCCTGGCTTTTTGACGGACAGGATGGTGACGCAGAAGTGGTGTATTGCGCTCAGAGTGGCCGCACATTCGTGTGAAGCTTGCAAAATATTGCAAGGACTGACTCAGATAGCATGCTGACATATTCTGATATGGTTAGGCAGTCTTGCGAAGAGCCTACAGTAGATTCACTTCTGGACGCTATCCCTGATGTACGCGTGGGCATGAATCAGCAAGGAATTTTCTTGTCGTTGCACTAAGTGCATCCTTTTTAGATTCGAGGGCTCGTCGCGGCTTCTGGGGCTTTAAGTGGGTGATGCTACTTTCTCCTAGAGCGGAGCACAGGAGTTCCCGTCAAACGCTTCCAGCCAAGCACGGGCTCAAAAAAGAAAGCATATAATATGCTATAATACCTTGCACCACTAAAATATGTATGAATGTACTATCATGTACTATAGTATTTGTCAGGCTGCAGCCGATGCCTGCAGCCGCCAAGGTCTGCATTCTGACCTTTTGCATCAATCAGGGTCCCCATGGTGTTTTCGCAAGCGCCATGCTTTTCAGTGACATTGTGTGGCAGGGTTTGTCATGAGGCCTTTGATCCCCAAAGGTTTACGATGAGGTTTCCGTCCAACTATGACACCAAGCTGTACTTTCGCCTTCTTCCACGCACTTTGCCTTGCGCAACTTGGATGGTGCCAGGATGTGCAGCAGATAGAGGCCCAGCTTCAACAGCAGCAGGAGCTGTTGCGCATGCAATGCATCAGTGAGTGCGTGCCCATGTATTATGTCGAGGCCTGCTTGTGAACGTCATAGTGTGCGTAATTCCATTTGGTGCCGCATACGCACAGACCCCAATGCGCTAAACGAATCTCACCTGGCGGCTGGAACTCAGCTGCCATTTCTGGATGCCGATCGCATTCTGTACGTCTGTCTGTCGAGGTCTGTTTAGAGTTCCAGCGACCAGCATAATATCTTTTGTTGTGGTCCACTCATGACGCTTGGGCATAAACATGTACGTAGGTGTATGCACGCGCTTTGGATCCAGAAGGGCCTTAGGTACCGTTTCGAGATCCCCTCGTAGGAGCAGAACCAGCAGAAGCTTCAGCTGGAACAGCAGCAGCAGCAAGTGCATCAGCGGCAACAGATGATTCAGGCCCGGCTCGGGATTTCACCTTGGCTTCATGATTTGAGTAGTGCAATATTTTGGGGGAAAGTTGCCTGCACTAACTAGGCAGGATAGCCAGGAGTTAGGGTACTCTGGCTCTGGGTCGTTTGTCAGGACTCCCAATACCGTTCTTCTGAAAGGCGTGGTGAAATCCTGTGAACCAAAACGCGGCTGCTCCGAAGGTTGGCCGTAGATGGTGCAAGATGCATTTCGAAGGGGGGGAAAGGTTCTTGGTCATTGGTCCTTTGCTACCTTTCCCGTGAATGCTGCAATAGGAGCATCTATTGAATCCAGCGTAGGGACCAAATCACTTGTGGCACTGTCGTTAGCCTGGCTTGCGCAGCCAGCCAGCCGGTTGCAAAAGGCAACTTAGGAGTCTGCAACCCCAATAGCACAATGCCGAAAGCAGCACCCGTGAGCGGAGATCATGAAATTTAAGAGCAGTTGCCAGCTTGTGAGATCGCTGAACCTGCCGTAACTTTGCATCCGCTTGGTCCCTGGTTGCATGCTGCCAGGCGCAAATCCAGCAAATCCAGCAGCAGCAGCAACAAATGCAGCAGCAGGCCCGCGGCACCGCCAACCCTCCAATATCAAATTGTGGTCAACCTTCTGGCAGAGCACAAAAGTAAATAGCAGTGCGGGAGTTTTTACATTATAGGACGTGTTATAGGCAAATCTTAGGCAACCTTAGGTGTCCAGCTACGGTGACATCAGTCTTGCAGTCCGAGCGTTATCCCCAAAATTCGAAGCACCCCGCATGACAGCCCCGGTTTAGGGTTTGGGTGTAGGGCAGGGTTTAGGATGGTTTAGGGTTTAGGTTTTGAGAATTAGGTTGGTCTCGCTGTGATACCCACGGGAGTAGATGAGTGTATTGGCTGCCGTAGAAACGTGGATATCTGAATAAATTGGAAGTATGTGCGATGTAGATGTTCCGGTCAACTGATGAGATGTCGCACTTTACGTTCCGTAGTTACTCCACCGATATCGGTTTGTAGCCCGCCACGTATCTACTCTAACTCTAACCTGGAAGGTTTTTAAATCCCGGCTTGCCGCAAGGTGCGTCTGGCACAGCTGCTGGAGCTGAACCAACTTCGATTGCAACAGAGCCACCTGCAACAGGTGCTAGCCAGTGTTGTGCCATGGTGCGCGGGAGTTAGCAAGTTAACATAAATGTCTGTTTGACATACTATGCAATGCTTGCGCGTGCCACACTGGGTCTGGAGTCTTGGAGAGGCGCAGCAGCACATGCTACTGCAGCAACAGCAGCAACAGCAGCAACAGCAGCAACAGCAGCAACAGCAGCAGCAGCAAGAGGCGATGCAGAGGACGCTCCTGGCTTCTGAGTTCCATGCACGGCTGCTGGTTTGAATGAAGCAAGTTTGGTTGAAGTTCCCTTTTGCACTTGCAAGAAGTTGTCAGGAACTCCGGGGCAAACTTCGACCAGAATCAGACCCAGATGGCGATGCTGCAAGAGGCCAGGATCAGCTATGCATCGTAGTCGTAGCCATGTCGGAGGATCGGCGGCTGTCAAGGACTAGGTAAAGTTCATGCGAAAGGCTTGCATGCTTTGGCGAATAAGGCGGGAGGCAGGAGCTTTTTTTTCTTGTTGAGCAGGCCACTAGAGAACAGAATTTGAAGCCAATCCATAGCCATCCATGCTTCAAAAGTACATCGAAACTGAATGTGTGGAAAATCTTTTCCCTGAAAGGCCGCACAGGAGGTCCAACATCTTTCCCGCCAGCTTGAAGAAGCAACGGCCACCTGACTAATTTCAGTCGTGCTGTGATGAGTTCTGGGGCCACGGAACGACAACCACGCGAGCTACGTTCTATGATCAAGTTTTGATGTTTTGTATGGTTTTCGTTCTTCGTGCGCTTTTTTAATCATGACATGTAAGAAGAATTGCCCCCGCGGTGTGTGATGGTTGGCGAGCACAGGATCTGGCATAGGTGCCACAGTCATATTGCAACTACTGTTGCTGCTTCTTCTGTTATGACGTTTCATTTCCCGATATCTTCTTGACATCTTAGTTGCTACGATTAATCTTCATCTACCTAGTCTCTGCTGTGGGTGTCCAGCTGTCCTGCTTTTTTGTATTGCCCGCCGTGTTTCATGATATAGGGCGCCCTTGGAAAGCTAGGGAGCAATGGGAATTACGAGGCGATGATGTGGGCTGACCTTTTGGATCACATAGCATCTTTCTGGCTATGGTGACTATAATCCCTTTCTAAAGTGATTTGCGAATGTTTCTAGTAATTCGCCATTGTTGGAGCAATCCCCCCCCATAAGCCCTAAATTCTAGATTCACCTCGCAGAGTGCTGCAAACAAAACAAACTCTAGATTCTGTCTGGCCATGCAAGTGCCAAAAACCCTAACCCTACAACGTACAAATCTCCTTAGACCTCTTTTGACCCCTGCATAACCCCTATAAGCCCCTATACAACCCCTATAAAAATCTTATATAACCCTTACATAACCTTCTAACACCCCATATAACCCCTTATAAAACCCCTATATAGCCCCTATATTCATTTGGGGGATTCTTGGACTCCAAACTCTAAACCCCAAACCCTAAACCCCAAACTGTGTAGAGCGCCGCTTACTATAGAGCGCAGCTCTTTCAAAAAGGACCCCCCAAATCCCTCACCATGGACCAATTCAGGTTGAGGGCGCCATTCTGCCCCGAGGGGCTTTCCCAGACCTTCCCGAAGAGCCTCGGGGGTTCCGGCCCATTTTCTCAGTTTTCTGAGAGTGCCGCTAATCCTGTGCATGGGCGCTTGGGCCTCTCGGGACAGCCTCCGGCCTGGCACCATATCAAAGCTGCGGGCCTGGGAGGGTAAAGCCTCCCTGGACAAACCCCCCGCGGCGCGGTGTATTTCCTCCAAACCTGCAAAGCTCCTTAGAAGGGCCTGCAAGACCCCCACAACCTTCCAGGTCTTCCAGGACCAAAGCCTGCCAGGCTTTTAATTTTCAAGCTTTCCCAACCTTTTTTGAAGGGGTCTCCCAGGGTTCTGAGGGTTCCCCAGATTTTTGCGTGCTTGCACTTGCAAAAGCTTTGTAGGCCTTATCCTGTACACCAACCCAAGAGATCCACGTGTGGAGGCCGGCCAAGGCCTCGGCTACCCCTATGCGTTGCTCAAATCCTTTTCTGAAATTCCGAAACTTGAGAGTGCTCTCTGCGGCGGCGTGATGAGGAGTGAACACCACACCTGGGGGAAAAAAAGAACTAGGAAGCCCCCCTTGCTAGGGGGGTTTGGGGGGTAGGAACCCTAAATGAGCATAGTTTGGGTGGTTGGGGTGGGACTACCAAGCTGCGCAAGGGCACGACTAAAGAAAAGGCGCAAACCCCGCGCGCGTCCACTGATGCACACCCCAAACTCCCTGTTTCCGAGGCTGTGCTGTCGGCAACCCGAGGTCTGCTGGAACTCGCAGCTTACTGGGTTATGTTAGGGTTTGGGTTTGGGGCTTTGTGTTTTGGGTTTCTGGGTTTAGGGTTCAGGTTTTAGGGTTCAGGGTGTGGGGTGCTACTATCGGGAGTATTTGAGTTTGTATGTCGGTATGTATGTCGGTATGTATGTATGTATGTATGTATGTAGGGATTATAACTGGATAGGGGGA